GACTTTCTGCCATTTCTGCACCTTGGCTTGAAGTTCTTCTCTGCTATCCGCTATCAGGGCGATGTCGTCAGCGTAGAGGATGGTCTTCAGTGGTCCTTCCATGAGGCCCTTCACCATGGTATCTAGCGTTAGGAGGAACAGGAACGGGCTCAGAGCTGACCCTTGGTGCACCCCAACCGTGATGTTTACCTCCTTCGTTAGGCCGTGAGGGGTGCGTATGGCTGCTTTGGCTCCTTCGTACATGTCCTTCACCAGCGAGATCAGGTGTTCTGGCACGTTTCGTTCCCTGAGCGCTCTCCATAGTACTGCTCGCGGTAGCCGGTCGAACGCCTTCTCCAGGTCGAGGAAGGCTAGGTAGCAGGGTCGGCGCTTTTCTCGATACTTTTCCATCACTCCATTCCATCACTAATGACTACCACCTTAGGGCCGGTATACGCGCGACGGGAATCTGTCTGTTTCGTAGACTCGTCCATCTTCATGAGTGAACCTTTGATTCCAGTTTCCAACGATTTCCTTTTCTTTTCCTTGACTACTGGCCATCTCCCTATTTCTATTCTCATTTTCACCACGATAACCTTACCTACGTAGGTGCCCCAAAAATTTGCCTTTCAAAGCAAGAGAGTACAGCGTTTTGAGCTGTGGCAAGTGGGACCGAGCCCCAAAAGTGGGCAACGCATGTGATGAGAATTAATCGGAAGATTCCTATTCAACTAATTTTCAAAGCTCACAGTCGGCTGTTCTACATCATCTGAATTGCGTCTTTGTTACTTGACAAATTTTTATAATTTTTTTTCAACTGACTATACGTACTTCAATGATCTTGAAATGAAGTATGTTTTGAATTGAAACATGAAAACTCAGAAAAACAATAAGTGGTCAGATTGAAAGTATGTAGCTTCTGTTCAGACTCTCACCGATGGTGCGACCTTCGGCGAGATGTCAGTAATTCTGATCGATGGAAATCAACTGGGCAGTCACCGCGCTGTGTCCCTTCGATCTGAAGGATACTCAGACGTTTACATTTTAAATCAAGACGATGTGTCAACGATCTTGCAAGAGTATCCAACTGATCGCGAACGACTTCTGGCTAATGGTGAGTATATTGTTCCGAGAAACGCGGGTACGCGACAGGCGGCCCGTCGCGTGACGAAAAGTCAAAGACGCAGACTGGTTAACGGACGAGTTCGCGCGTGCTGTGTGAAGTGGAACATACTACAGTACAGTTTATCTGATTTGACGCAAAATCACTGCAGTGGGCGCTGCGACTCGTCGCTGACCTGTTCGCGCCTCTGATTTCTCGATGACGCGATGTCCCTGTAGGGT